GCTGATCAGCACAAGTTCCAAAACAGTGTGTGTGTCACCCGTACGGAGTCGCGTGGGAGAGGTAACATGGTTTTACCGAGGTACATTTTCAGTAACTTTTTGCAAGTCATCCTTGAATCGTTCGCTGTGCAATGCTGGGATTTCGATTTCATGCAGATTGAAGTCCCCCACTAGAAGGACATGATTGTGTGGTAGTGGCAGGACTCACTTCATCGCAAAATCTAGGCATTGATCCATTTTCAAGGTGGACATTGGAGGTTGGTAAACTGTTGCCAGTAAACACACATCACCCCCTCTTAGTTGCGTGCGGCACCAAAGCACGTCGAGGACTTTCGTTTCTGAGTCCTCAATGTTATCAACGTGCATGTCGGATCGATAATACAAGAACACACATCACCTGCTCTGCTAGATCGATCATTTCCTATGGAACTCATGTCGGTTAGTGTAATCCGAGCACTTGTGATCTCGGTGTTCATCCATGTTTCCGTGATCATAACTAGCTACCAAGGCTTGGAGACCTGACAAATATGAAGTTTGGCTAGCTTGCTGAAAAAGACCTAGCACATTGGTATATAAGCAAATGAGGATATCAGTGATTAGAAACATTTTCGTGGATGCTGGTTTCCGATGAAGATTTATGCCGACCTTTGCGGGGTCGGCTGTTGTAGGACCAATGACGCAAGCCCTAGGGCCACTTCTGTTTGTTCTATAGAGTTCTTAGCACCAGCAAGATGGTAGCCATCCTGTCCTCCTTTAGCTGCCGGCGTATTATGGTATTGTCTCCGTTCTGAGATACTCTGTGACGGAATTGTATTGGTAAATTGCCTTCACTGTTACCTTATCAACTTTTGGCTCAGTTCGTATCGCGTTTAAACGTATTTCGGATGGAAGCATTTTGTTTTTTGTGTCACATTTCGATCACATGTTCTGGCATCAGTTCTGAGTGCAATGGTACTTTCATCACTCGGGACCACACCCTTTGAAGTTACTTTATGGTGGTCACCTTGATGTCGAATTAGCGATAACATTTTCGAGTGAGAGCACTTCACGAATAGAACGCCATGCATCCCAGTCATGCGCTTTGGCCTCTAGCTCGTTTGCTGTCTGGAGCTCGGGGACACCGTGAACAGGGATAGATTTTGCATCTTGTTGTTTACGGAAGTCATTCGGATTTTGTTTTCGTTTCTGGCGTTCGCTCCAACGAACATCTGAAAAAATTCGTACACTGCGTGTGGTGGTACGGAGGCGAGTAGCCGCCTCTGCGTCATTACCTGACTGAAGTGTTACTTGGTATAACCGCGGTTCACCGTAGTGTACGGAGTTTGGGTGACGGACGAGGCGCATCATTTTGACTGGTTTAGCTTAAACCCCTATTAGTTGACACAGTGAATCCCACCTTTTCCTGCCGTCTAGTAGCTTACCTGTTATAGAATTCGCCCCGCATACAGTCACATCAGAACCTACAACAGTCTGAGAATTATGGTATTGTTTCATGTTCACCTTGTTGGAAGGACCAAGGTTTGCCTTTTTCGCTTGGACAGCCGATGGGGTCGTGAGTCCAATGGCAGTGTTGACGGTATTAATTCGTTCGGCAGCTTGCGTGGTTCCGATTGTGGGTGCCTCTGTCATATGGGTAGCAACAACGGACTCGTAGGTTCTCGACTATTTAACAGTGTTCGATGTGGCGAGTGGTCATTTTGGAAAATGTGTGGTGGATGCATCTGTTCGAATGGCCTCTAGTCTTGAGGTGGCCAACTCTGGATCGTTACTTTTATTTTCGGCGACTACACTGTTCTGGATTGAAGCTTGCTTTTGAGCATGGTGTTCGAGGCACTTATTTTTCTTGTTCCTGTGAGACAGCTTTCATGGCTGCTGCTTGCTCTACAATCTTTGCCAGCCTATCGCATCATCATCATCATCATCATCATCATCAACAGCAGTACATCAGCCATTTGAACTGATGCTTCGCTGTCATACAACCATGAGGACCTATGAAATAAAGAATAAGAAAAGGGAGAGAAAGGGGACTTACCTGAAAACCTTAATGAACCCTAAGCAAACATTCAGGGTCAAGGCGCCTACACCTTGTGTAGACAACATACCGTCACAAACAGCTGGCTATCGTGCAAAGATAAGGCGGCATCGGCGAGACAGCTTCCTTGCGGCTTTCACTGCTCCGCGTCATAATCAGCCATTACCCCGCAGATAACTCAGCACCAAACACACTTTAAACAGGCAATCCGATTAGGAGACGGCGGCAGACGCGTTACTGGTGTCTACTGCGAGCCATGTCCTGTAAAGTCTCGAGCCGAGCACAAGGTGAGTCACGTGGACTCCAACCCGGAAGGCGAGACGGACCAACGGCACCCAGTTTGGTCGTCAGTGACTTCATTTCCCGCTGCCAAGTCAACTTCTGTCCACCTCGAGCCTTGAGCAATCCGACACCTGGTAGACTGAACAATTCTGTGCCAACCCAGCTGTCCATTTGACGAGTGGAATAGACGTACACTTAGTGCAGAACAAGAAGGAATAAGTCGTGCTATTAATTTTTTTTATTTGGCTGAGAGGTAGGCGAGCACATCGAGAATGAAAATGTTTTCAACAATTTATGCCATATATCCCAAAGCGCACAAGTTTAACACAGTCGACTGCATTACAACTAGCGTTTATTTCGGAAGCTTTAGGTTTAGCTTTCTGTGGGCAAGCATTACGTTCTACTGTGTCTGTTCGTTCTGCGAATGTCGTTCGTTTTAACGTCGACGCTAGTAAGTAGAATCCAAACTGGTGGTGTGACTGACACCGGTTAAATTGCTGCAGAACAAATTCAAGATGGCGGACACAGTTGGGCTAATCAGTGAGATCTCTGAAGTTGCCCAGAAAATATCTACCAAACTTGCACAGAAGGAACAATAAACCAAGCATCGTACTGGTGCACAATTCATACAGAGAAAACACCTTTAACTTAGTGATCCTGACGATAAAGTAGCATCCAGCACGGTTAATCAAGAAGCCGTGGCGTCCGTGGGTACAGCAGCATTACAAATTGCTGACGAGGCAACCAATGTCTTGCGGCTAAAATACGCCACAATTTTCGAACTTGGAGACTCCACCTCTCACCTAACATCAAGCACAGTACCGACTCCATGGTATACACACGTTATTCTTGTCCGGGAGAAAGTGAGAATTGCCTAGAAAATCCACTATTTTAGCGAGTAGCCGACTATCAACGAGTATCGCATCGATTTCAAACGTTCCGGAAGTTTCTAGTTTCTGCACGTGACTAAAATTCACCTGACACCTCGGCAAAAGATATGGAGAACCACTAACCTTGGTAGCTGACCTTCCAATTCTAGAAGTCGAAGGTCAGTAAGAGACCTATAAATACAGTCAAGGTTCGCGGTACTTGTACAGTGGTTGTTGTCGGTGATTAATACGTTATTTTGCCAAGATCACTGGCGTTCTGCGTTTTCCTTCGGTTGGGCTAGCAGTTTTGTGGAGTAGTAAAGTGTCAATTTCGGAATCGCGTCTAATCGGAAGATTATAACAAATGGCGACAAAGAAAATTGGAAATTTGATGAATTTTCTTCTGAACAATCTCAAAACTTTTTTTAACAGCAGTCTCAAATGGAGGCACAAATGAAAATGATTGAAAATTTAACACAATGCTTGAGCTTGCAGACAACAGGAGCAGCGACGCGGGACGTGCAGGCGTGTTCTGTTAATCTTCTCATGAATGCACTCATTGAATTCAATTATGACGCGGCTTTTGGATGCACCTTCGAAGCGTGGTTCAAGCGCTGGGAAGACATGTTCCAGACGGACTTCATTCGTCAAGACGACTCCTGAAAGGTACGATTGCTACTCCGCAAGCTCGGAATAAGTGAACATTCAAGGTTCATAGACCACATTCTGCCCAAACAGCGGAAGGCTTTGACTTTTGA